AAAAGCAAGTGAGAATGAGCCACATCAGTTAGCTCTAGAACCAAAGCTGTTTGGGTTTATTGGGTTATTAGTTTTGACGGGGGCCTGTATCTAGTCTGAAATTTATACCATGAGGAACATAGGAATTTGTTCTGCTTATTATGATAATACATATGTCGTACAAACATGTGTAAACTAGGCTGTTTATGTATTATAATAGGTATATTAGCATTTTTATCAGCGCAGGATAATTATATACAGGGACGCACGCATACAAAACTAGGGTGGTTCATTACCTCCTCTGTCAAAGCCTATTTTTCTCACTAGATAGCTCCATAGCACCAAAATAAACAATAATTTCAGTTCTTTGCATGTCAGCAACATTTTGCTAGACAGCCCCTTTTTTTCATTGTCAGTGCCGTGGGCTGTATAAACCTTGACACACAAAACCATCCAGTAGCTTGGTTCTTAAAAAGGACATTTTGTCATGTCTGCAGTTGTTAGGAGGAGGATTTGGCAAAACAAAACAAACTTGGTTGGTGCAGTCATGTGCAATGGATACATCCTCCTCAACATAAGGCTGTTAATACTTCAGCTGAAACAGAGAAATTATGCTGTCTTATTATACAGAGAGGTGGGTAGATCATTATCGTACTTATTCTTATTGTTCCACAGTGCTAGGTTATGGTCCCTGTGGCTTGTGATGTAATGAAAACTATGATGCTACTGAAAGTCTAGATAGTTGCCAGCTTCTGAAGTGTGTCATGGTTAATTGTTCCATTTTCTAAAGCTGTAAACAGTGGTGATTCTACATGAGCCAGATGTGGGTCTAGGGGGGGAATGGAGACCCGAGCTGCGATTTCTTTGAGAGGGCCTATAGAGAATTGATCAGAGCCTGAATCTGGATTGAAGAACTACTCATGTAAACTTGAGAGTCAAAACAGAGGGGCCATTTAGTGCAAACTTCTGACTCCACATAAAATACCATGGACTGACTCCATCCCTGGTGTGAGCACACTGAAGTCAATGAGTTTCTCTTGGGGCAACAGAAGCTCCTAGGCTGGTCCGGTTTCAAAACAATATTCTGCATGGTTAGTCAGTCTTCTTTACACCCTGGGGCCTTCTCTCATCACCATTTCAGAGAACCCTGAGATCTGGATTGGAGGAGGCTCTTTCGTTACTTGTCTCAGCTGAAGGAAAGCTCCACAATGTTACACTTTATATTAAGGTTTCAGAGGGGCAGCCGTGTTAGTCTGTGTCAGCAAAAAGAACGAGGAGTCCTTAGAGACTAACAAATTTATTTGGGCATAAGCTTTCGTGGGCTAAAACCCACTTCATCGGATGCATGGAGTGGAAAATACAGTAGGAAGATACATATATGTATACACACACAGAGAGCATGAAAAGATGGGGGTTGCCTTACCAACTCTAATGAGACAAATCAATTAAAGTGGGCTATCACTTTTGATCTTCCCTCCTGCTGATAAGAGCCCACTTTAATTGATTTGTCTCGTTAGAGTTGGTAAGGCAACCCCCATCTTTTCATGCTCTGTATATATACATCTTCCTACTGTATTTTCCACTCCATGCATCCGATGAAGTGGGTTTTAGCCCACGAAAGCTTATGCCCAAATAAATTTGTTAGTCTCTAAAGTGCCACAAGGACTCCTTGTTCTTTTTATATTAAGGGCACACTTACAGAGTTTACAACAGGTTAATAAAGGATTATTAGGTGTTAAGCATATTTCAGACATGGAACATGTTACAGATGCTTATAAGCACATCAGTAGGTGTTTGAGACTGGTCAGCAACCTATTGAACTGTGGCACAAATGATTTACAATTAATTCACCATATATTAAAGCACCTATTCATAATTAAATATGTAAGCTACTTATAAATATACTTTTAATATGAAATGTGACACCCACAATGCCCAAACACGCAGGAAGTCATCAATAACCTGAGGGTTGAAAAAGTGCACAGTGGGCTTTCCCAAAAGAGTTGGGTACAAGCCACCTGGGTGTTAACACCATATCACCCAATACTTCATAACATACCTTTTACCTAATATGTCCTATAGAAAGTTGGTGTGCATGAAAAATGTATTGCAACATCTGTTAGAAGCATTTAGCTGTTTTCTTAGCTGTTACTGTTGTGTTTATTTCAAAACAGAGAAAAGCTTACAACACAAGGCTAACCACTCTCCACACTAACACAACCTGTGTGTGTGTGTGTATACATACACAGAGTGAGAGAGAGAGCGGTTAATCTAGAGTTTGGCAAAAGAGAGTAGCATTTTAGTATTTGAAACTGTCAGAATTAGCTTCTTCAAATGGGGGACTCCCAAGAATTCATGAGCAGCAGCTGCTGCATGTAACGGTTGGTAAGTAGAATACCGAGACCATTGACCTTGTACGTACACACACAATGTCAAGTTATCTCGTATTAGAAAAAACACACCTAGCACTCCTCCAGATATATAAAACATTCAAGGCTTTGTTTTCTCTTGTGAAGAGGATAGCCCCAACTCAGAATCAAGTACCTGCCATATGTAACAGACCTCTAAATGTTACCATATAAACGTATAGGTTATCATACGCACTAGCATTGCGGGAAGGTTTACAGCTGAATGGGATGACAATGAACAATCTTAAAATTCATTGTAGCCTTTTAGTTCTTGCGTTAGACATCTCACCACCTGCTACAGACACAGATGTCAAGCAGCAGCATGCTTAATATTTAGAGCATCTGACTAGGCGCTAGGATTTGTGGTCTACCACCAGTATACTGGGGAAATTGCTTCATCTTTCTGTGTGTCGGTTTCCCCACCTGTAAAATGAGCTCATCATTTAAAAGCACCAATAACTCCAGGTGAAAGGTAGTAGATAGGCAATGTAGAGATGGAAAGGAGGTTTCTGTTTTTGTTTTTTGTAGATGACTGTCTGGCTTAGTGTCTGAATGATTTTGTTGAATGCTGATGGTATTTTTATTGTATTACTAACAACATGTTAGAATGCCTAGAACCTTGAATAGCCTTATTGGCTAATTAAATTTAAATACAAAGATTTGTTAATAATCAGTGCTTGTAAAATATTTTGAGATCCTTAGATACAGGATGAGTTAAATGAAATGTCAGTCATTGTGATCAGCTAGATGTCTCCACCAAGCACAGAGTGGCCTGTTTCAGCAAGGCTTCCTCCCACAAACTCAAGGCAGAGTTGTGGTAAATGGGTTTCTTTGGCTTCCTTCTTGCAGTCTATTGTGATAGTCATTTTAACATGAACCCTCCCTGTGTAATTGTAGCAAGTTTATATAGGTCAAGATTTTGACACTCTATAGTGTTGCAGCAGGAAATACAAAACCTTGATGCATGGTGCACTGTTGTCCTGTTTGCAATGTGGGAAATAATGGGTCTTTTCTAGTCTGGGAGTGATAGTTTGCCCTCCATTTTGATTAACTGAATCATACAGTTTTGTTGGTTTACAGTGGGGAAAACCATAAGCCTGCACCTGGTTGGTGAATGGTTGAAAGCATTGTCTTATTTATGTCCAAAGTTCTCTTGTGGTGTCAGGGCCAACCCTACCCATATGCAAACTAAGCAGCTGCGTAGGGCACCAGGAAATGTGGGGCACCAAATTGCCCCACATTTCCTGGTGCCCTACACAGCTGCGTGCTGCATCCAGCTCCAGCGGCCAGCCCGATCCCCCGGATGGCTGAACCGGCCCCTCATGGGCTGCACACAGCAGGGCCCAGGAAAGCTGCCTCCGCCCCTGCCCCAACCCTTCCCCATAGCCCCCATCCCTGCTCTGCCCCCGCCCCACCTCTTCCCGCCCCTGCTCTGCCCCAGCCATGCCCCCACTCTGCCCCTTCCACCCCAAACCCTGTCCCCTGAGCTATGCATCCCGGAGGACTGCAGCAGAGGTTGGGCCCGCCCTGCATTCACCGGTGGCCAGAAGAGGAGTGACCTGGGCCTAGCCCGCTCCGCTACACCAGCTCCCAGCTGCAACGCCGATGAGTGCTGGGGGGGGGGCGCTTCCCTCCCTTCCCCCAAGCCTGGGAGCTGGGGGAACAGAGTGGAGCAGGCTGGGTCTGGGTCACTTCACTTCCCGCCGCCCCGTGAGTGCAGGGGCGAGCCCGACCCCTGCTGCCTTCCTGCACCGGCTGCTCCTGCCTCCCAAAGCCCTTGGACACAGCCCCCCCCCCTGCAGGCCTGGGATGCCCTCACTCTCTGCAGAGGCATGGGACCCCCCCACTTGGAGGCCCGGGGCTGGCCCCCCCCACAGGGTGGCTGCATAGGGCACCACAATCTCTAGGGATGGCCCTGTGTGGTGTCATTCTATTCCAGGGGTTCTCAAACGGGGGGTCCGGACCCCTGAGGGGTTGTGTGGTTATTACATGGGGGGTCACGACGTGTCAGCCTCCACCCTAAACCCTGCTTTCCCGCCAGCATTTATAATGGTGTTAAATATATTAAAAAGCGTTTTTAATGTATAAGGGGGGGTCACACTCAGAAGTTTGCTATGTGAAAGGGGTCACCAGTACAAAAGTTTGAGAGCCACTGTTCTATTCCATAGCAGATGCCAGAAAAAAAAATCCATGACAGTATTAGCAGTTGCTATTCAGGAGAGATCCAAAACTTGAATAGCAGAGAGGTATTGCAAATAGTGAGCTAATGATGGGAAAGCTTTGGAACACTTTGGTTGGCTTCAGCAGGTGTTTATCCAGTTCCTAACTTTCACAAAACTGAGTTCTCCTCTAAAGCAAGATCCAAAACAAACAGCAGCCGTAAACATCTTAACCAGAATAGGGTGGCTGGTATGTTGACCCTTCTCTTTGCTTCTGTTGTGAGCCTTAACAATCATGCAAAGTCATGTGCCCATCAGCACTACAACAAGCAGGTCTCTCATGACCCTTCCTAGCTTTTCTTCACAATCTTTCCACCACATACGCTGGCAGAACTCCAGCCCTCCCCCCCCCCCGCCCCCACACACACACAAAAAAGGCACCAATGCAAGAGTCTCTTAGTAAACCATTCATCTTGGATCACAGCTTTATTGTATGGATTTGCAACACAGTCCATATTACAAACATTGTCTGGGAAAATTTACAAGAATAAATAAGATGGACTCGCAGTCGTAAAAAAAAATTACACTTCACTGTAATGTACAGTCAAAAAATATATCTGATATTCATTGACTTGACATTATTTACCTTCCTTCTTTTAAACCAGAAAGGAAAAAAACACTGAATGCACAGTGCTGAGTTTTTTTGTATTTATTTATTTTTTTCATTTTTATTGTACCGTGCTTTATCTATCAAACATCCAAACTGTACAAGAGAGCTTTACTGGTAATCATGAGGGGAAACTGCAACAGAAAGGAGATTTTACTTCTCATGCCACACTTCTCCCAGCCAGCAAAATAGCTGCATCCGGGCATTGAAACATGAATCTAGCAGCGGATACAGGATGCTGCTTACCCAGATGTTCCCTCAGCATTGCTGGGTCAAGTGGCAACAAGTCTAGTAAAGAACCTTTGAGTGAGGCTCATACATTTCGGTTTCAGCAGGATGGTGAAAAGGTCAATGGGGAGGTGGATCTAGTTTGCATGAGTTGAACACAGTGAGATTGTAGCTAAATCTTTTGGCATAAAGGAGAGCATCAGTGTTGGAGGAGTCAGAATGGCTGAGAAGGATGAGAGGGTAATGCCAGTTTTGTTTTGCATACACTAGAGATATCACTTGATATTGTTCAAAGCTTTTAACTTCACCATTTGCTTTGGGATGATTTTTAGAGTAGCTGAACTCATAAAAGCATGCAGTATGGTGGCAGTGCTCCCATGTGCTTAGCTCACCATTCTGCAAACACAGCCGCTTCAGCAACTGCACATGAAAAACGTGCGTCTCAGAGGCCTCCAGTCAGAAACCACTGGCGGATGGATATAACCAGCAAATAGTCCTCCATGGTACTACACATTGGAGGTACATCTGCTATAGTATAAACAAATGTTTGGTATAATCCTAGGATCTGATTCTGATCTCACACTGTAGCTTCCGTTAACCGCTATGCTGATGGAAATCCAGTGTACATGAGGTCAGAATTAATCCTAGCAAATACACACTTCTATTTGGACATCCCCTTCTGTTCCAAAAACATCATACAGCTGGGTCTTGGGTAATGGTTATAAATACCAGAATTCTAGAGGCCTTGTGGTTCCCATTTTGGTGCATTTGATTCTTTTTTCCATATCAGCCATTTGTTCTTCCAGGAAAGCCCCTACAATCACCAGCATTTATCATTCATTTTAGTGCAGAATCTTCCCATTCCCTTGCACATTAATAGTTTACATTACAAATGCAGCCATCTGGAATTCCCTGGGCCTAATGGTAAATCCAGGTCTTTCATTCTAGTGCATAGTTTTCTGTTTCCAGAGGATCAGGATGCATTAAGGGTAATATGGATCAGAGAATCTGTTAGATGCTTTGAGATGGTGCAGAGGAGGAGGAACGGAGAACTGCAAGGCTTTCACAAACTGAAGGTGCTGACAAAAGTTTCAGCTTGACGCTTTTTACAGATAGAGGCAAATCTCCTCACTCAGCAAAGAACGTCTCAAGACTAGGGACCCTTTCATGTCAGCAAGGTTTTGTCATTAACTTCGGTGGCACCAACATTTGGCCTTATGGTAAGAACATTATTTTGCTTAACTTACTTTCTGGCCTCAATGGGTTTTCACATCTGAGAGGTCCAAATTCAGCTTCTCTGTTGAAACATGCTGTAATCCAAAATAGACCTACCTCACATTCCTGTTTTAAATCATGGAAAATGTTACATTCTTCTAGTATATATGTATAAACTGGTAAAACCCTGGAACAGCAGGACAAATTCTGATATGCTAGGTTAATAAAAAGATAGAGCATGGTGGTTGTTTCTAGTGGCACTCCCAATAACTGAAGCAGCCCACCATTGATGCTGCTGGCTAATAAACCTGGCCCTGCACCTGGAGAAAGTAGTACCAGGTTCTTTTGGAGATAAGACTTCAAGGAAGAGGTGACACTTGTGTCTTGTTAAATGTATGTCAGGAATTTGTAGAAGACCAACATCTAAATAAATAACACCTATGGGAATTAACAGCATCACTATCACTGATGTATTGAATGGCTAATGTTTACCTTTTGATTAGCTGGGCACCCAGTCTGGGCTAATGAATTGTGGGGGTGAGGGGGAGAAGAAGAGAGGCTAACAGCATTTTATTCTACCAGATGCTCCAGGATCTTCTAGGAGACGCAATATCCAAAGCCCTCTGGCAACCGTTATTGGGCTAATGCACAGCCAATGGCCATTCTGAGATTTGCATCTATGCAAAGTACCATGCATCAGATGGCCCATCTGCCTCCTTGTCATCCCCATCCACACACCCGCACACACAGCACATCTGTTCCAAACTAAAGAGACTGAAAGAATCCTTGGAAGTACAGCAGGCCCCCAGTAAGCATCTGAGATGATCCTGGTAGTGTTTGAACTACGATCTGTGGATACAGCACAGGGACATCATCAAGAGTAATTGACCACAGGAATTTTACCACCAGATAATGCTGATCTCTTTAAATTAATTGCAAGGCAATTACATTTTCCTGGGAGACAACTCACTTGTCCCCACCTCCCCACCCCCATATCCCATATCTGAATACAGAGGTGACATGCATGCCTGGGAGAGCATTTGATCATGTTCTCGGTTTTACAAACAAGGATACTTCAAATGTCAAAGACCTCAGCTTGAGCACCCCTTCTTTAATTTGTTTCTTGGTGTACTATCTCCCAAACCTCTTCCTTCTGCTATGCCCTGACCACTCCATTTGGGCTCTGGGGTGGGTAGGGGGATTTGGTATTACCTGCATTCTTCTGATCTTAGCATGAACACAGCAGCACATAATATAATGGGTTACGAACGAGAATAACACAGAGAAAGAACACGGTGAGAGTTTCCATTGAAACATCTCTTTCCAGTGTTGTCCGTTTCCCCCACTCAACCTCCCGGAATAGAAAGAATAGTAGGCCTCTCCTTCTGTTCCAAAAGGATGAAACATTGGTCTGGGAAGGGTTAAAAATACCAGAGTTATAGGGGTCTGGGTGGTCCCCAAAATATCTATGTAACATTCTGTGTTTTGTTTGGTCGTTCTTTTTGAGTGTTTATGTGTGAGGAACAGTGACAGCATTTGCTATTTTCGGTTCAGTTATATCTCTGAAGAAATAAATTATCACTTCTAGTTGTCACTAGATATTAAATGTAAATCACATCTCCCTGTATTAGTATGGGTGTACATTTGTGTGTGTACAAATGTACACACAATACATGGCTCAAAGAACTAAGATACGTTGAATGCCGATGTTATGGGACACGTAAGAATGGCTCAGTGTACTGGGAACAGCCAGAGACTACAGCTTTTCTATAGATGTGAAAATCTTTTATTTGGCCGAATGGCTCATGCACACAGAACAAGGGGTAAATATTACAAACTTAAATGCTTAAAACTTGATTAGAGTGATACCCAGCAGAGCACAAAAAACTGGCTGGAACAAGGCATGGTGCAAGGAGACACTATGTTCCATATAGTTGTTCTGTACAACTCTGCCAAAGCACTTCAGTCATGAATTGAAGCACTTCTTGTTAGTCCAGTCCAAAGTTTCTCTTGAGCAGAGATGACTGGTCATGTCAAAATGTGGACAAGTATGAGATCACCAAAATCACCTTTATTTGCTACCCAAGGACTCAGTTCTGCCATGCTTATTTACATATGTTACTCCTGTAAGTAGTCCCGCAGACTTCAACAGGACTACTCACCTGTGGGAGGTAGTATTGAATGTGAGTGAAAGTGGAGGAGTTGGGCCTTAAGTTAGAATTAGACTCCAAGGGCCATATTTTGGCCTCATTTGCGCTCCACTGGGCTTGCACTAGAGTACCTGAAGGTAGAATTTGTCCAGAGGTCTCCAAAGTGAGTTCAATGGAACTACTTGTGTCTACTCATTGTGGTGGCAGCTTGACGACACTCGTTATTTGGCTGAATCCACAAATGACATGGATGTGATAACACACCCACAAATGGAGACACTGTTCATGATTTGCCATGCACTTAGCGCCGCAGGTCCATATACACTATATAATGTGCGCTGTTCCGCACCAAAAGAAATTTGAAAATAATAAATAACTGGCCCATGATCTAATTTTGAAGATATTATGTGAAGGTAAAAAAAATTATGAGAAGACCTGCTGCTCTAATACACCTGCTTCTTTTTTATAAGCCCCCTTCTCCCCCCCAAATCCACATGATCGAACCACTCAGGGCTTGTCTATACAAACAGTTAATGCACAGAAAGCTAAGGCCTAAAGCTACAGCTCACTAGCGTATCATGCATTAATTGTCCATGTGGACCCTGCTACCTCACACTAAAAGTTCCCTACTGTACTTTCATCTCCTCCTGTTTCAAAGCAGGGTAGATCAAAATGCACTAGGGAACTTTTAGTGTGTAGTAGCAGGGTCACCACAAACACCTAGCACACAGCATGCTGTCGCACTGTAGATTCACACCCCAGCTTTCTGTGCACTAACTGTTCATCTAAACAAACCCTTAGTCTCTTTCATCTACAGCAAATCGTCTAGTTATCCCTTGGATTCTTTGCTTCAGTATCCTCTGAGCAATTTATCCCACATATTAATTACCCTTTGTATGAGGTAGTTCTTCCTGTTTCCTTAATTGTTCCTAGTTTCTTGAAGTTTAGATTATCACCAGGACCAGTATTGTGCCATTCATAAGAACACACTATGGACACTGAAGAGCGGTTGTAAACTAGGATAAAAACTCTTCATTAGAATTGGTCAAATATTGTCAATATCAAATTTTCCTATATTTCAAATGAAAAAAATGATTCCTCAAATAAATTCCTCTAGTGTTTTTCAAAGAATCATAGAAATGTAGGACTAGAATGGACCTCAGGAGGTCATCTAGTCCATATCCCTGCACAGAGTCAGGATTAAGTATTCCTGCACTATCCTTGACAGGTACGTGTCTAACCAGTTCTTAAAATCTCAAATGATGGGGATTCCGCAGCCTCCCTAGTAAAGTGTTCCAGTGCTTACCTGTCCCTAGAGTGATCAAGATTTTCCTAATCTCTAACCTGAATCTCCCTTGCTGCAAAGCCAATTACTTCTTGTCCTATCCTCAGTGGACATGGAAACCAATCGCGCACCATCCCTCTTTTACACATTTGAACGTATGATGCCTCCCCTCCCCCCCACCTTCTATTCTCTAAAGTGAACATGCCCAATTCTTTCAACCTTTTAAGTCATGCTTTCTAAATGTCCTATCAGTTTGTTGCTTGACTTTGGACTATCTCCAATTTCTCCACATTTTTCTTGAATATGGTGCCCAAAACTTGAACAGTACTCCAGCTGGGGCTTCACCAGTGCCACACAGAGCAGAACAATTACCACTTGGGTCTTATATATTACACTAATACATCCCAGAATAGCATTTGCCTTTTACACAACAGCATCACACTGTTGCCACAGAGTCAACTTGTGATCCACTACACCCCCCCAGATCCTTTTCTGCACTGCTATTGCCTTGCTAGTTATTCCCCAGTTATGTATTTGTGCATTTGATTTTTCCTTGCTAATTACAGTACTTTGCACTTGTCTTTATTGAATTTCATCTCGCTGATTTCAGCCCAATTCTCCAATTTATCAAAATATTTTTGAAGTCTTATCCTTGTCTCCAAAGTGCTAGTAACCCCTCCAAGGTTGGTGACATCTGAAAATTTTATAAGCATACCCTCCACTCCATCCAAGTCTTCAGTGAAAGTACTGAATAGTACTGTACCCAGGACAGATCCTTACAGCACCCCACTAGAGGTTGACAGTGAACCATTGATGACTACTCCTTGAGAACGGTCTTTCAACTAGTTATGCACCCATCCTTTAGTAGTTACATCTAGTCCATATTTCCCTGGCTTGCTTATGAGAATGTCATTGGGGACTATATCAAAAGCCTTACTAAAGGCCAATTCCACTCCCCACTGACTAGTAATCCCTTTCAGGATTGATAAAGCCACTGTTAGCTCACTTCAAAGCTTCCATTTTTCTCTAAGAAGAATAAATCCAACTCCCATAACCTTAACTCATATTTACATTCTTCTAATCTGGTGGTATCTTTTTTGCTGTGTGCTGCACTCTCTAAGGCAGTAATAGCCTTCCTATGGTAGGGTGACCTGGACTACATACACTATTTCAAATAGGATTTAATAAGCAACTTTATGTTGTACGTTGGCTGGTACTGTTTCTTCCCCCTGTCCCTTTACACAATTCCTGTCACCTCTTTTATCTATTTAGATTGATTTGTTACTCAACACATGACTCAATGAACTCAAACCTTTGATTTCCTCGTAACTTTGAGGCCTTACACAACTCTACTCCCACCTATGCTCTGTTCTCAAGTCTGACACCTACTTCTCTCCACCCAAGCCTCCTTTGTAGCTGCTATTTTTGTCTATTTATCCACTTTCTTTCATGCTACCCCTAAGCCTGGAGCTGCCCCTGCTTCTCACATTCCTGTTTATCTTCCTTTCTGCCACTGACAGATCTCATTGCCCACCTCTCTGCCCCTTTTTGTTTGAACTATTACCCAGTGTGTCCTATTTCTGATTTAGACAGAGACCTTAACTGCTAGTATGTTCTTGTGAATTTCCACGTACAACTATAGCACACACTGAATATTAGTTGACGTTTTCAAGATGTTAACTTGATTGTAAGCAGTGAATGAGGTCTTAAGAAAACTTATGTTATGAAAGGATTAACAACATAATAAATAATAATAATAATAATTAATAATAAACCCACAAACACAAAACCAAGGCCCCCAAACAGGAATAATTCAAGGAAGAGAAGGCAATTCTTTTTAAATAGCCTGGCTGAAGATGAGTGAACTGTATTCAAACACACAGCACTTTTTCTTTGCAAGGGATTTGGGTGGCTGGGAATGATTCCCTTTAACTTGATGGACTGAGTGAACTGACACTAAGGCACCGTTTACACGGCGACCCTTCCAACGGCACGGCTGTGCCGCTGCAGTCACACCACTGTAAGGTGCGCTGCGTGGCCGCTCTTTGTTGCCGGGAGAGAGCTCTCCTGGCGACAAAATAAAACCACCCACAACAAGTGGCAGTAGCATCGTCGACAGGAGCACAACTCCCACCGACGAAGCGCTGTCCACACTGGGGCTTTTCGTCGCTAAAACTTTTGTTGTTCGGGGGGGTGTTTTTTCACACCCCTGAGCAACAAAAGTTTTAGCAATGAAGGTGCCAGTTTAGACATAGCCTAACTTAATTTCTGCAGTTGGAGAAAAATCCTGGCCTGCTATGTAGTGCTTCCTTTCCTCCTCCGTTCAAGTGGAATTTAGCAGCACACTTGTTGCACCACAAAGTTACAACATGCTACCTGTCATCTAACCACTAATTTTCATACCTGCCTTTTCATTCCCTGCACAACAGTTTCTCCACTCCTCTTATATTCTTTCAGGATCCTTTGCATGGATGAATGGCAAAAAGAAGTTCTGTTTTCATAAAATGGCACACACACACTAAACACTTCTCTACAGTTACACAACATCATCTTGTGTTTTTGTTGCAAACAATAGAAGGAACTAGCCCCAAAAGGGCACAAGGTAATGGGTGTGGGTGGACACAGGTACTATATGGCATGCAGGATACATCGGGACAAAATCGGACTTACTTTCTACCTTACTTCAGGACACTCATTTGTAAAGACAAGCCTAAAATCCAAAGTCTCTTGATAACGTGGGAGATCTAAAGAGTGGCAACTACTCAAGGGTGCTTCTGAACTAAGATTCATGGTAATATATTTTTAAAGAAAAATAATATTGATTCATAGATTCTAAGGCCAGAAAGAGTCCTGGTGATCATTTAGTCTGGCCACAGAACTTCCCCCAAAATAATTCTCTTTGAACTACAGCAAATCCAATCGTGATTTAAAAATGGCCAGTGATGGAAAGCCCACCACACCTTGGGTAAATAGTTCAAATGGTTAATTACCTTCACACTTATTTCCAGTCTGAATTTGTCTAGCTTCACCTTCCAGCCATTGGACTGTGTTATACCGTTGTCTGCTGGGTTGTCAAAGGTATAATGCAATCCAGTGACTGCAAGCTGAAACTAGACATAGTTATACTGCTTTCCACATGTTGAAAATCAATGCGACAGAGGGTCCAACCAAAGGCTCTGGGATTGAAGGATCTGGGTACTGACAAAAGGGTGGGAAAACTCAGTTGAGGGATGAGGAGTTACAGTTTTATTAAACTCTTTTCTTCCGCCAAGCTTTGATGGAAAGTCTAGATTTTAAAAAGCCTGCATTTCCCAGAACCTAGTCAAATGCAGACAGCCACCTCTTATCTCTGCTGCCTTAAGATAGATAGCTAAATAAATAAAAATCCTGAATACTGAAAGATCTGGTTCAGCTAAATCAATTTACACTCTGAGATTAAAATCTAACCTTTTTCTGATTAACCAGTTAACACACTTTTCTATAGCTACAAAGAGATAAGACTGGGCTACAGGCTAAGGCAACATATATCCAGGGCTTGTTTCAAAGAATTAATGGAAATTTTAATGCAGAAATTTTTGCAGAGCAAAGCAAATACCTTTTTGCTTGTGATGTAAAGTTTCCTGTGCCGCTGAAACATTTTTCTTACCTTTTCACAAAACCAGCAAACAGGAGTGCTGCCAGCTTTTTTGCTGCCCTAGGCGGTGGAAGGTCCCGCCCCCTAAATGCCGCCCCTGACAGAGGTGGCGGAAGGTCCCGCCCCCGAAATACCAATGACGACCAGACGGCCGAAGATCCGGCCGCCGCGGTCACCGCCCCCAAATGTTAGTGCCCTAGGCGACCGCCTAGGTCGCCTAATGGGTTGTGCCGGCCCTGCCAGCAAACACCAAACTAGTTTTGTGTTTAATGTGCATAACCTTTCATACAGCCCGAATGTGTTACCATTTAGAAATCTCATGGCCTGGAGAGCTGGATAATCACACAGTTAGGTCTGATTGTACAACAGCTTGGGAACAGACAGCATAGAAAGCTTAGTCAATCCCCAAATTAAAATCATACGGTTGCTATGTCTACAATGCACAGTTAACCCGGGTGATCCGCACCTGGATCTGGGCACCCAGTTGCGAGCATCCCCACTACAAAGACCTATCCATGCTAGTGTCCTCACTGTTTCTGCACTCATCCGTGTGTGCCTGGAGGCATATCCCATGTTATTTATTCTGAGGTGCTCTAAGATTGTTTCCCAGTCAATTGCAGAAGAACTTTCTGTCCTTAGGGAGGAATTGTGGGCAGGGCATTGGAGTGATTTAGCCTGCATCCTCACTGCAAAGTGATCAGATTCTGGACAGAGTTAAAGAGGAACCTGCATTCTAATCCACACCCAAAGCCTTTCCATAATCAGGTCTAAGGTTTTCCTGTGTGGATGGTGGGGAGAGGGGTTGGGCTAAAACTCAGGTAAAAACCCAGATTAACTCTGCATTGGAGACATACGCTTAGACTGTAAACTCAGAGGAAGGGATTATCTTTCTGTTCTGTGTCTGTACCTGGCACAATGGGATCCTGGTCCATGACTAGGTCTCCTAGGTGCTACAGTGATATAAATAATAATGATCTATAGTATATCATCATCAACAGGTACCTACTTTATACTCTTCATTTTAAAGAGACACTGTACCCCAGCAAATGCTTGAAAAATGTGGTAAAAAATTACCAAATTTACAAACCAAATGCAATTGGTTTGATGGAGGGTTTGTTTGATCAAATGGCTGTGAAACCCATTTTTTTATGATTTGCTTCACCAGCCGGGACACTAACATGAATCAGAGAGATGTAACCAGTTCATGCACAATCTTGGAAGTCAAGCAGGATCTGGAAGGAAAAGCTTGTGTAGTAGTTGGTGCAGCGAATCCGTAACAGCTTCCCAATTCCACCACCTAGTCTTATGTCTAGGGAGAACAGGAAAGGGGAAGAGAATTTCAACTTCTCGTTGATGGCATTTTCACTTGAAAAAAAAATAGGTCAGATGGATTAATTGTAACCAAAAGTCTCACATGTTCCCTGTGGTTCTCTTATTTTTCCAAATGGCTGATGCATGAAATTCAAAAATTAAAGGGTGGGATTTGAGAACAGAAAAAGGAGCTGTTTAAAAGACAGAATATTCCAGTATTTTTTTCCTTTGTATCAAGGAGAACAAAAATACACATCCAAAGTGGTAGAGAAGAGGTTGTAGGGGATTAGAAAGCAGAGTCTTCCAGTCCGTCTCCTGTTTAGCCAATTTGTATGCTAGGTTATTTAAGAAGCGGTAGGTGCTCCAATAGAAAGCAGGCAGCAGCAAACACAGGGATCACCTCATCCTCCCAATGGCATTGAGGTCAGTACACTCTGACCCTTCTTCAGTGTGGAGAGCCTGGCCCTCCCCACACCCATTACTGCCTTTTAGTGCGGGAAAAAACTGTTCTTCAGACTTGGGGATCTGGAATCCGATAGGCCCCCATCTCTGCTAGGCTAAAACGAACTCAAGTATTCCAGTGCAACCTCATATACGAATTTATATTGTTCCTGAAAGAGAAAGAAAAAGCCAGTGGTAAAATGGTAGCAGTGAGTTCTTAACAGCCTGATTCTGCAAGGTGCCGAGAACCCTTCATTCCCATTTCCACTCCACTTGGCATGATCGGGCTCCAAGAGTTAAACATTTAATAACTTGTAGACCCAATTGCACTTCTCTGGCACTGGCAGAGCATAAAAAGGGTGCAAAGTCATGAGAAGAAAAAGACACGCCCATACAGTCACGATACTGAATATTCATCATTTCATGCATGTCCTTACTGCAACTCTCACACACTCCAGAGGGAAATCATTCACTCTAACTGACTGATCCAATGTAATTCATATTGGGCAGTACCCTGAAGTACTTTTTTTTTTAAAAAACTCATTCTTTACTCACTGCACTCTACAGAGGTGTGTAAGGGAGGGACACTTACCAGTGATTCCACCATATTGGATTTATTATTTCGTAACGTCTTCACTATGTGGAACACGTCAATGATATTTTGCTGCTGAATCATTTCACACACGCTGCAGATGGCACAGAAGGTGCCACTGCGTCCACCACCATTCCTAGGCATGGAAGAAAAGAGGCAGTTTATAAAGGGATGCAGGGGACTGGCGCATGGAGGCAAGCACCCTGCAAAGGACAGTGCTTTCCCAGATTCAAAAGCATGCATCACTGGAGGTACCACGTGCAGGCCCCATGCAGGCAGGAAGCTTCAGAGGGTTTGAAGATGAGCAAGACAATAGTCTAGAGATTTAGAATATAAGAATGTGACTTGAAAGACACTGTCAAACTTAGTGACCTTGGGCAAGTCACTTCACCTCCCTGTGCCTCAGTTTTCTCATCTATAAAACAGGAATAATACAGAAGTCACTTGTAATCTTGTGAGGCTTCATTCATTAGTCTGTACAGGGTTTTTTTTAGATAGTCGTATGGAAAGTGTTATACAAGAATTAAGAATTAACTAATAAACGTTGCACTGACCATCATGGAAAAGTCTTGCCACCTTTATGATGTATGCTCAAAACTATTCAGTATCTAATCAATTAATTGTAACCAATCATTATTTGTATTACAATAGTGCATTGAGACTCCAATCAGGATTGGGGCCTCTGAACAGACAGAAGTAGACAATCCCTATTCAAAGGATCAATAGAGGGCTTAAAGTGGAGCTCCCAATGCCATAAGCAGCAGTGTTTTTGTGACCACTCCCTATTTACAGTGGAAATAGTGGCACATGGTACCACGATTCATCACAGTCCTTAACTTCACTTGTGTCTTGATTGCAATTTAACCTAATTTTCCCAGCTCAAGTATGGGCTGGCCATCTGATTTCCACATCAATTCTTTTTGCCCTGCACCATAGGATAGGAAGTATTCCCAGTCATACTTACAGGCAGTGGACAACAGTGCGTCCATCTCTCCCATCGTACTGCTCCTGCCATTTCTCTAGCCGTCTGACCACCTTCAGGAGGGAGCGTTTGGATGGAGGAGTGTCCCGGTATGCTGGCCAGCCAATGTACTGCAAATGCTGTACTATACGATATCCATCCTGGGGCTAAAACAAATTGTTATCCACTTCCATTATACCATCAGAAAGGTGGTGAGGAAGAGCAGGGGTATGCGAGGGGGTAGTTGTCACGGGTTACATATACATTGTTTAACATCACCAAAATATGTAATTATTCCTACCAATCAGTGTATAACTTAATAACAACAATATGAGTACAACTAGGCTACAGGCCAGAAGGAAGCACACTGTAGCTGGGTGCAAGGCCTTCATCTTTTTCCAAAGAAAGAAAAATAAATCCAGAGTATTACGGTGGTTTCAGGTTTTGAGGAAAGGAAGTTTTTTGTGGAAAGGCTTTAGTTGAGACTGCTAAAAGGCCCGGAAGGAAATGGGGCTCTGAAAATAACTGTTTTTATTCGGGAATAAAGTCATCTCATGGTGGAAGAATGAATAAAATATTTATTCTCTTCCCCTCTCGCCTGTTTCGGAGGTTGGTGATACCATACGGAGAAGAGACAAAGCAGTCATTCAAAAAAACCAATGGGGGAAAAGAGCTGGTATAAGATCCTCATGGTGATTTTACCAGTAGCACAGACCAGCTCACAATTGCCTCTATAATGGCATAACCAAGCTATTGCGTAAGCTCAGACTCAGAGGTGGATACATGGGGCACTGGGATTATTTTCAAAGGCCAGTTGGCATCTCCATTTCTAACAGTGAGAGGAACAGGAAATATGGGGATAGTACCTAACTGAGTGGGAAATCTGTACTGATACAACAAAGTAAATATCAAGGTTATCCACTGCAGCAGTGCAATAACCGTGCTTCGGTCCATTATACAAATAACCCTGGTTTGTGAGCACGGTTGGGGCTGTTTCCTCCCATCTGTAGGGTTGGGGCTAATGGATGCTGAGTGAAAAGATTTTATAAAGATGACAGTTCCTTATTAATAGGGGCACAGTGGCAACTGGAAACCCCAACAGTTTAGCCAAGCAGCACTGCACCGAACTTCAGAGATAGGAGCTCCTATACCCTTCAGCACAAGTGGTTGGCAGAGATGGAGTGGAGATAACAATATCCTAGTTTAGCTAATAGAATGAATGATGATTTTACATTGACTGCTAGTTGATTAAGGTAACATGCCCTCCAGGACATACAGAAAACGTTTTCCAGTTAAGGACAGAAATCCAGTTCACATTATTCACCTTGTGATTTTACTGAGAAGTCTTGTACCTTCTAGAGAGGGGTGCAGCTACAAGATTCCACCTGTGGCAGCGGCAAGAAAATCCTGCAATGGAATTTTTTACCTGGCCTTGGGATTTGGTGGCACCCCTGCCCCTTGTCTGTTTGAGCAATAATTTACAGAACAGGACCGATGAATGAATAAATGGATCATCTGGGATGTCACTGATCTTACCCTGGCCATGTTGCAGATACGGAATATCCTATTGATGATGTCGTCATCAATGTCTGCTGAAACAAACTCCACCTGGATTGGACCATAACAACAGGACGTTTTCTCTGGCCAGTACTGCATGCAGAGCTAGTCAAGGTGCAAGACAAATGGAAAGCAGGTCACCTACAGGCTAAGAAACTATCAATCCTCTTTTCTTCTTCTAACCCCACACCCAGTTCAAGAACTGTAATCTAAACTCAGCATTACAAAGGATATGGAAGCCCTGGCCTTTAAAGTGGCTGGCAGACAAAGTTGCTGGAGGATTATAGATTTAAAAGGAGTGTGTTAATAGATTAGTGTCTGTGAGTGAATTTAATATGAAGCACAGAGGTTTTGTGTTGTGAGTTAATGAGGAAACACTCAATACCAAGAAGATTAATCTTAGTTCAACCCAAGTGGAACTTTTATTTCTCTGTGCAGCCAACTTTTTTATATTCTGAGTTTACTAGCCTCTAGGAAGGGGGCAAGCCAGATTGGTTTAAAAATACACACATCTCACATCTCAAATTAAATCACAACTTTTATGTGTTTTATTTTTATTAATATATAATGATTGACTGTTGGATGTCCTCATTTCAATATAGGAATATAGGAGCTATGAAAGTTGCCACCCATCTGGGATCCTGCATTATCAACCCAACCAGCGAAGAGCGTTTCTGTCTTGCCAGGATGGCCGTAGAATTGTTCAAACTTCTGCAGAATGGTTCTGGGATGTTGTAAGGTCGTCATCACACCACATACTAGTCTTCATAATTACATTTTAAAACTATTAGTCTCTCTGATAATATGGTGACGATTGTAGCATAAATGCTTAGATTAGATAACTATGGACAGATAGAGAAGTACAATGTCGTACAAAGCTAGTGTGGTGAGCGCAACATCCTGATACAATTGATTTTTTTGCAGAAATCTCACTCTCTTAAGTGATATAAAACTAATTCCTTGTGCTGATGGCTTACAAGATATGTAACTTTAAAACTGTCATTCGTCCCTTGGTCTACCAGTGTTTTTTGGCACTGATCCAGTTTGGCAGACAATGGATCTCAGGTCAGTGTAATTTTCAGTTCATAATTAATCACCAAATCTTCTCTCCTTTCCCTTAAAGTACAACAAGGAAAAGCAAAGTATGATATGGCATTGCTGGTGAAGGGTGGCCAGCAAAAATACTGGAGTGCTAATGCTGGAGGATTTCATTTTTCCAGACTCTAAATGTAAAATAACCATGAAAAGAGGTTTCGTATTTCCAGAGAATGTGCAGGACTGTTTCTTTCCAGTTTGTTGGGCAACCAACAAGATTAAAAACTACTTTGGATTCATTCCCAGGACATAAAAGCAGGTTTGATGAATCAGATAGAACATAACGAGTCCTGAAGGACCAGGGATCCTAGATAAATCGTATTTGAGATTTCAGACACTTCGGACTCAGAAAACTGGTCACACCAACAGCTTGGTCTTTAGAAAGGCTGAATTGGAGGCACCTTAATGCAGAGAGGAGCAGAAGTGAATCAGATCCCACATCATTCATTCTGCTTGGAGAATCCCCCTGATGAGAATGTGATTGGTTTTTCCATTAGCACTAATAAAGGCAGCATCATAACTGCTGCCTTCAGGGGGAAATCTTTTGAAAAGAGTGAGGAGCAGATGAAGAATTATGTTATAAAGTGCAAAGTACCCGAGGCCACTTCTGCTGTTTAACAAGAACTACAATGGGTGAAGTAGCAATCTCATACTGCAAATTTCCTGCACAATGTGTGATCACCCATCCCTTTCTGATGCTACCCATCATGAGACTGACTGCAAATGCCCATGCACTAGCAAGAGTAACCACTCTTCACCCGGCAAGCTCTAGTACTGAACATTATTTTAGGTCTGCCAACCAACTAAACAATTTATACAAAAAGGAGAAAAAAATAAATTGTGCAGTAAGTATCCACTTCCCTCCTCCCTTTTTGCTGACTGTAAATCAGTTTCTCATAATGAGTGATCATTCAAAAGCTTTGGTGTTTCACTTTGATTAATGCACCCAAAACATCAGGTGCTTCTCCACAATCTCATGCAAATTATCCAAACTTCCCAACTCAGCAAAACTGGACTGGGGATCTCAAGAAAATAGGATCGATCATATGATTTCACATATGTCCTACTTCCAGTCACCTGGCAATACCACAAGATCAGGCTTGTTGAGAGTGTTTTAGCATTTACAGGTCTGGTCGCAGGTGGAAAGCAATGGGCAAAGATGAAGAACAATGTGTAAAAGTATTGAACTAGGCTCTTCTGAACCACAAAGTTTAGCTTGAGTTTTGGCAGGAGTGGCAGAAGCACCCTAAAAGTGTGTGTGTGGGGGCCCACAGGTGCCTGAACTGTGGCCCTGCCCCCAGTGCCATGCCACCCCCTGAGGCCCCCTCCCCACTGCCCTTGAGGCCCTGCTCCCATGTCGCCTCTTCCCCTGCTTGCTCCTCTCCACCCCCCCCGCCCATTGCTCAGCCTTATGGCCGATAAAAATTGTCCTCCTACTTTAAAAAGTGTGTGTGGGGGGGAGGCATGGCCTCCTGTCCCCCTCTCCCTCCTGTTCTGGCACTCCTGGTTTTGGGTGAAGATTCACTCTGGATTGTACTTACAATTGTTTACCCATTCCTATGCAGTTTCCCTTTTGCCTCACAACTTTTCTGCCTGTCTTGAATAGCAACTGGGGACACCTGAAGCTCCTTTGATCTGTGAATAAGGCTGCTTGACAGAGCTATTAGAAATCCACCTACCTGTGCAGCATCCATCTCATTCAGCATCACTATGGAGGAGCAGTTGTAATCAAACACCAGCCTCCAGAAATCTGGTACAGTGTTGGGTAAAGGGTGCTGGGTAACAATAAAGGCAGCAGGTTGCTTGTGGCTCTAACAAAAGAATAAGATTAGTTACAAAAATCAATCCACTTTTATTGAGATGATTATTAAACCTGGGAGGCTAAAACTATGCAATCAGAGCCATTTAACCAGATTATACAGATCACACCCCCTCTTCCTTGTTATCACTGTGCAATGAATGAAGCCCTCATAATGGGATCCCTTTGCTCCCAACGAACACATTTCATTAGAGAAGTGGCACAAGACCAGAAATTATGCAAATAAATTATTTATGTTTTGGGGGTTAGCAAATAACAATAATATTAATTAAAATTAAGAAAGATAACTGCTGGAAGCAGAATGTTGCTTCTTATCGTGGCAGTAGATGCTAGAGACCAGTCAGGGTGCTCTCCCTCACTCTGATTTTGTTTCCTGGGAGCAGAAAACTAAAGAGTTGGCACATTCAGATCTCAGGGACGGAATGTGGGGAAGTGGTCCGAGCACTGGGCTCTGGAGCGCTCTTCCTGACGCTGTTCTGTGACTTTTGGACAAGTCACTTGACTTCAGCATGTGTAAAATGGTTAGAATGATACTTCCCTCCCTCTGAAGAGTGATGAGAGGCTTAATGGATGTTCATTAAGTACTTTGAGATCACAGGATGAAAGGAGATTACAAATGCAAACTATTATTCCTCTTTGGGGGCAGCAGACAGTGCTTAGGTGAATCCATAAACTATAGGATTTTGCCTACCCCATCTCAGGGAGACGGAGTACTTACACCGAAGGGAGAAGGTCTCCCCTCAGCATAGGCAGCGTCTTCACTAAGTGCTACAGTGGCGCAGCTGCTGCGTAAGTGTATACAATTCCTCAGTCTCCTGGCTAACTCTCTTGGGGGCTGGATGAGCCACAGTTCCACCAAGTGTGTGTGGGGGAGGGAGGAAAGGAGGTAGAGAGAAGAGTAAAAGAAGAGAGATTTCCTGAAGTTACAGATATGAAATGGATCAGGGTCTGCATTTCATGACCCAGGAACATGGGCACGGGCAAGCCTATGCCTTGCTGATTTGGGTAGGGGTTGTAAAGCCAGTTTGCAGCTTATAGTATTGGAGAGACCAGACCAGCAGAGGCAAGAGCAGTCAAAAAGCAGAGGGTAGAGGGCAGGAATTTATTTGTATTCTAAGTCTAAAAATGATGCAACGGTTTCACATTCTGCTATCCTAAATAGCACAGATCCCTTCCATTCTCTCTTTTGTGGAGGCTGCTGCTAGAACTGCATGTTAGACACAAAACAGCTTCTGCTTAGTGAAGAAGCAAGTCCCTCATTCTCTCACTCTCTGCTATTAGATAATGGAGATGTGCCTTCGATGACAGTGTCTCCAATTCACTTGGATAAAACTGGATATGGTATCTAATCCCATTTCTAGGCTTATTTTGTGCCAGAGCAAGCCCATAGATTGTACCACCAATTGTACAATCCATTCAACTTAACAGCTGTTAGAAGACAGATCCATTTGATGGAAGCTTGAAGGTGGGAAATTGTGGTGCTGGGAGGGCAAGTTAATAAATTGCAGCTTCCCCCTCCCACACCGGATCCTGGGTAGAGATGGGGAGTCAGTGTTGTTAGCCCCATTTCACAGTTGAGAAAGCCGAAGCACAGAGACATTAAGTAGTTATTCAGGAAGCCTGGGGCAGAGGAGGAACTAGGACGAAGGTCTATTGATTCCAAGTCCTCTGCCTGAACCACAAGACTGTGACAGCTTCTCAAAGGTCTGAGTTTGAGACTTGGGCATGGTCCCTTGCTTCTGTACTAGGCCAGATTTGGGCCCATTCTCTCACATAGTGACATGTCTGATAGATCCTTATTTTCAAAGAAGTTGGAGGTTCATGCCTCCAGAACTCAATCAGCAACCCATTCCAAGGATAACATCACCCCTTCTATCAAGAAAAACATTCAACATTACCCCAACAATTGGATTTTTTTTTCTCCCCCAGTTGGAGGAAAGTTGTTGCGACCTTGTGATAATACACAGAGCATGCTGAAACTCAGATGAGAGGAAAAATAATAATGGAGGCATTTGCAATAGATACCCGTGGGAAATGACTGAGGGGAGAAGTAAAAATGAGCATCATTGAGATCACGTGACCCCCGTAGAGCAAAGCAGGCAGTCTGCCAGGCTTCCCAACACATGGAAAGAACTAGTGACTCATATAAAGGCAAGACGGGATGGACTGGCTATTCTAGGTGCGACACTGGCAAACCAGGTGCCAGCTTTGCCAAGGCTTTAGGCCTCAGCTGAGCACTGACAAATTCATTGCTGGAAACCAGTCTGTTTCACCTGTGTGTTGGTACGGTTAAGATGGGGATTGGATTTATAATAATGTGTTTAGACTTTATGAAATGGTTGTAAATTGCTGCATGTGTTAATCTCACCTCTAATATCTTTATCACATGCTATAAGGTAATATTTATGTTTTTTGTCTTACAACTATAAAAAAAAATGTTTGCCCTGAAACTGTCAACTGTCAGAAGGGATTATCTCCTGCTCATTAAGAAGGCTATCAACTAAATGGGCCATTGTGAGACATCACAATACAAAGACTGTTAATTGAAGAGGTTACATGCAAAAAGGCTCATCCCATCAGCTTGAATTCTGGAAGAAGGAAATAAAGACTGGTGGGAACAAGATTTTTCATTTCTTTTTTGCTGTTTGGATTCTGACAGAACCACTCTAGACAGTGACACTAGGATCCAGGATGTGTTCAAGACTGCAAACAATAGGCTAATGGAGAAAGGAAGGAATTCCACCCAAGGGTCCATCTCCCCCATTAGTGATATGGCATTCCGGTTGTTTCAGGGTGTGTTTATCCCAAGAGCACTGACTTGCTCTCTCTGTAAAGTGGTAAATAAAGAAAGGGAAAAAAAACATCAGCTGAATGGATTGATTTCAATGGCAGATGAAACAATTTGTTTACATGAAACAGTGCATTGGCACAAAAGGTGCCACAGAAATGCAAGATGATGTTATGTTTTAGGTGTTGGCATGGGGGGCCCTTGACATCAGACAACTGCAAAACCAGAGAAAAACCCATTGTGGTTCTGCAGATTTGCCAAATTCTCAACTTAATCCCTTAAAAGACAGGAACATCACTATCCCAAACAAAAACAAAATCGCAAACCAACTCCCTATGTTGGTTGGAAGCAATGGTAACTCTTCACCTGGTGTCAGATTTACAAATACTCCGATAGCAATGTCCTTTCCAGGCATCCCTGCCCAACGGTCTCTGAGTAACTTAGCAAATGGAAACCATCACTATTATTTACAATAAAGAAGTGACCTGCTCAACTAGATTCTACTGTGCAAACAAAGTGAGGGGGAGAGGGAAAACAGCCCCAGACATAGGTTCACTACAACCTAACACAGGCCCCTTAGGCTCTGAAATGTTTTTCATAGACCCATAGATTCATAGACTCTAGGACTGGAAGGGACCTCAAGCGGTCATTGAGTCCAGTCCCCTGCCCTCATGGCAGGACCAAATACTGTCTGTACACATCTGATTCCTCTGCCAATACTCTTAACTCTATACGCTCAAATCAAAGGGTTGTTGAACTCCTAGCACATTGTAACTTTTTTTAAATACTGTTGCCTATGCAGTTTCTCCACCTGCCTGCCTGCCCCTTCACGATAGCACCCCAGGCTTTTCTTCCATGGGCCTATTGGTCAATAAAGATCTCTGCCAATAAAGGAAACATTAAGGCATCAAAAATATCCTCGGAACACCACTGATGCATTCCTGCATGTGTATGAACATGCACAGACGTTGGCTTCCTCTGGGCCCCAGGGGTGCTCAACCCCCTGCTCCGCCCCAGGCCCCATCCCCACCCAACGCTTTCCCTCAAGCCTCCACCCCCTCCCTGCCTCTTTCCCCCCCACCCCATCCCACTCCTTCTCCCAAGTCTCCACCCCTGCCCCGCCTCTTCCCGCCCCACCTCTTCCCGCCCAGTTCCACCCCCTCCCCCAAGCACATCCCATCCCTGTGAACATGGGACAATCAGCCCGGCACTGCTCTAGTTGCAAGATATCAGCAAAAGGAGCCCCAAAAAACAAGCATGTCTTGTGTTTGACCGATTTCTCACAAGCATGGAAACGAACTGAGGCCTAACAAACCTGACACAAATTGAGACTGGTGCCATTGCTAACAGTGCCTGTAGGTTGTGCTTACATCCATGAGTGCAGCGTTGATGTAGTTGCTCGATTCGCCATCTACAGAGATAAGGAAAGGGAGGCACCGGTCCAAGGGCAGCACATCCATGCAGCGATTTTTGTCATGGTTTCTTGGTAAGAGGCCAATGCTGCAGTCTTCTGGCCGAACACGCGGTGTCACAATGTTGAGGGTCTGTAATTGGAGGAGAGAGAGGTACAGGGAAAGCCTCTTAGAGTTTATTTCCAAAAGGGATGCCCTTAAACATCAAATACAGATACTCAACATGCTTTGTAACCTTTACTTTCAGTTTTGAAAAGACCCACAAAGCTGAGATCCAGATGTGAATCTTCCCCAAGTATGGAGCTGTTTGGATGCAGGACTTTAGATTGGCCCATTACAGAGCTAGGTTGGGGTCACCTATTTAAGCTTGGATCTATAGCCAAACTTCCCCAAAGTTCGGAGGTGTCTGAAACCCGGATTTTAGCTTGGATCCACCTCAGACTTTGACTTCGCAATTTCACATTTGAGTTCCTTCAGAACCTTTGGCTGAATACCATCTGGTCCTGGTGACTTACTACTTGTTAACTGATCAATTTGTTTTAAAACCTCTTCCACTGACATCAATTTGGGGCAGTATTTCAGATTTGCCCCTCCCCCCAAAAAAGACTAGTTCTGACATGGGTATCTCCCCAACCTCCCCTGCACTGAAGACTGATGCAAAGAATTCTCTGCAATGGCTTTGTCTTCCTTGAGTGTCCTTTTAACGCCTTTGTCATCTAGTGGCTCCACTGCATGTTTGGCAGGCTTCCTGCTTCTGATGTTCAATTAACCATCCAATTCTAAGACACCAAACCAGGTTTAATGACACTTTTCTGTTCTCTCATTTAGATTACAGGTGCTGTCATGGTTACGGGGCTGGATGTACTTCTGACCCTCTGCCTGAGTGTACCCCACTGGTGTCAGGCCTTGTGCCTTTACCTTCCCTGGGGCTGGAATCATGATTCACACACTTATCTATCATCCTGGGCTATGGTATCCGGCTGGTGCTTACCCAACAGGTCCAGCTAGGCTCAGAACCTGCAAGTCTTCCCTGCAGGTCCAAATGGGTTTGGAACCTGTGGTTCTTCGCTTGGGCAGTCAGTGACCAGTGGTGAATATAGTGAGCAGACAGCCTTCTTAAATCAAAATATTGTTTTATCTTAATAGTAGGAATAAAGCGTAACATGAGCGAACAAGGATTTTAAAGCAACAAAAGATCTACATGCATGTTGATATTAGCTAGGGTCTTGCCATCCTCTGGTAGAGACCCTAAGCAGGTCTCTCTTTCCCAGGCACCCCTAATGTCTGGGTTTGGGGGTCAGTGTTTTCCTCTTAGCTGTCTCTCACCCTGCTGGAGGGAGTATGTCCTTTGAAACCTAGACAGTGTCTTTATTCGCCTGTATTCACAACCTTCCCCTCTGCTGACAAACTACTCCCGTGAGCTCAGTAGAGGGTTGAAGGTAGAACATCAAAGTGGATGCCTTTTGCACTATTTTCTTAAGTGTCGGTAGGTGGATGGCTATCTGAAGCTATAGTTCTTTTTCCTGCTTGCATGCAGACAACCTTTTCTTAAATTAGCCTGATATATTCACCCAGTTAAACCCCCTTATGACTATCAAACTCCCAGAAGACATAGTATTAATAAATTATTGCAGAGGAGCTGCACGAATGCCACAGTGGGACATGACCGCAACAAACTTAGGATCTGGACCATGAACTTCAAACCATCTGAAAATGCAGGGATGTCTGAATCTGTGATCCCATCAGTAACCTAGATGAAATGTTACTGTTTGTCCTAAATTCAAAAGATCACTCAGGCCTGTATAACTGTCCATGATGGATTTCCATTTCTAGATGGTGTGGCAGAAAGAACAATGTGAAATCTCAAATCCCTTATGAAAACACACCTCTGCCAGGATGCCCATGGTAAGCTGAGTAATGAATGCCACGACAGGAGCCCTGTTAGCAATTCATCAGTATCTCTTCCACTTGTCCAATAAACAAATAAATATGTTTAAGCCTCCAAACTGTACACTCAGCTAAGGATATCTGCAACCCTGTATTCCTGTGATTAGTATGGTCTTCCCCTGCTATCCCCCGCATTGTGTTCAAGCCCTCTCCCCCATGCCCCCATTGCATCTTACCCCCATTCAGATAATTAAAGCTATTTGAGGCAGGATCTGATGTTCTGATACATTTATGCAGTGCTCAGACAGTGAGGTTCCACCCATCCAGAAAACTCTGGGTGCTATTGAAATAAAAATTATTATTATTATTAATAATACATAAAAATCTATAGCTATCTCAACTGGTTCATAAAGATGGCAGCTACTTATATTTTTTTGCACCCTTCCCTGTTCTTCACTAAGTGCGCACAATTAGGGCTGAGAAGAATGCTGTGTATAAGTGATGTCCTGTAAACACAAAAGCTTTCTACGAATAGATGGAGAAGGAAGCTCTTAGGCAAACTAAAGAATTCCCTTCCCACAGGAGCTGCCAGCCTCCCACAGCTTGTAAAGCAAGTGAGCAGGACACAAATCTGTCTCACTCGGATCCTGCCAAAATAAGCACAAATGGTGGTGTCATTGTTCAAAAACACTACATTTCAGGAAACTGGGCTTTGGTTCGTTTGACAAGTAAGGTGTCCAGAACCAGAAATGCTTTACAAAGCACAGGCCACTTGTGAAAAGCAGATGCATTAATGGCATTGCCGGTCATTGGGATTCAAATTACAGTTTTCCTGTATCCAAATCTTGGTAAATGTATGCCATGTATTAATAGAAAGGATACGGTCTCACTTTGTGTATAGGGAGTTGAGAGCTGGGAAGGAAGAAAACCATCTACCGGTAATTCCAATCTGCTACCACAGTAGCCAACACTTAAAACTGCAGAGTATTAGTACTGTAGGTTGGTGCTGGTCGAGACACTACATTGCAGCAGAGATTTGCTGCAGGTAGAGAGTTCTGCACTTCGCTGTTAATGGCCAGTCAGGATAACTTCTGAATTAATGAATGCCAAAGTCCCTCCCTCCCTCTTTTCTTTCAAAAAAGCTTTTCAAAGACTTGCCTTTCCCATGAACTAGAGTTGGCTGAAAACACAAAAAGTGATTGACAAATATTCCAGGGAATAAGAGCAGCATGTTCAGTCCACCGTTATTTGTGGGGTCATTATTCATTGTTGCTGAGTAGCCACCGGGTATTTGTGAAAATGTTTGTGCAGCCTCAAAGTTTATTCCATTTTAGCACAAATGATTCTGCACCTGGAAATCTGCACTTGAAAGTGCACTACTCCTGGCTTGTGATTCTCCTTTGTATGAAATTTCAGTCATCTAATCAGGGTGGAGAAAGAATCCCATGCGACTTGGACAATCACTCACGAACAGCACAGAGTCAAAGTGAACAGTTAATAAATGACCCATAAACTGACATTTTTTCACATAAACTATGTAGTGAAAGTAAGAACAACAATATTTGTTGAAATTAGGATTGGGTCACGAATGGAGCAAAGTGCAATATTAGCAGTGAATATTATACCCGCTTTTGGGCTACTGGCAATCATGAAATAAGATAAAACAATTGATAAAACACATGCCCCAAACGCCAACTGCTATTGGTGCAGACATGAAAAGGGCCACATGCTCTTACCTGAAATTCATCTTTTATCTGGCTGGAATTTGTCTGCGGATCCAGTCTGCTGATGTTGTAATATATGGATCGGAACTCACAAACCGGAATTGCTGTGTTGCCACAGAGACATGCCTCTAGAATGGCATCATGTACAAAGACATACTGCTCCTGCACAGAGCACAGGGACAAGATGTTGCAAATTAACCCCGTGCTAAATAAACATCATAAAATTTCACAATAAACTTAAATCCATGGAACTGTCAATGCTGATTTTGTTTAAATTGTGCTCACTACAGATTTTTAAATGTGAGTGTGTGTACACATGCATGCATGTTGTGGAAGATACAACTTGAAGAGCTCCCTCCACCAGTTGCTGAGTGCTACTGCTGATGAGAGGCTGGTCTTGGCCCTGAGTGACTTCTGCCAAGATGGCCTGGTTAGTATTGTTCTTTTTACAAAATAATTTTACCATGTAAAAAGAAAACCTGTATCTTATAGTTGGAACCAGTTCTCTGCTCCTTATGGGTGACTGCATCCCTTAATTCAGTTATAATAAACCTGAAAGACAGGAGTAGATGACACTACTCCAGCAATGTTTCCAGTGAGGAACAAAAGACAGAGATCCATATACCACTGCCTGTGCCATAGATTTGTGCAGAATGTGCCTCATCAGCACAAATGTTCAAGCAGGACAAAATTCAAGTGTACTCATTATGCCCATAAAATTCTACATTTGTGCATGTAAATGGGCAGTTTGCGGATTTAAGCTGGGAAATTCTGCTTGCAGATGTGTCACAAGATGTGCAGTTACAGGTTTTTGCAAGCACAACAGCATTTTGTGAGTGAACCTGTTTTGCCCACCATTAAAAATGTGGCTTGTACAACCCCTTTCAAATGTAAACATAAAATGTGAAGCCTCTGGACCCCAGAGGCACAATGGAGGGAAAAAATAAGTATAAACACTTAGTCTAGGACAAGTATTCCACAAATAGTTTAGGAGCAATTATACTCTGGTGGTGCTATTGCAGTAAAAACAACAAGATGCACGACCAGCTCTATTCCATCTCTCTCGTCTTTAATGGACTTCTGATTACTGGTAATTTGAAAGATGCATGGTTTTCCACAGGATAAACAGAATGTTCTTTACAGAGACCATATCCTGGGAATGGAGTCCAGCAGAATTATAATTGTTCCCCTTTTTTCTATGCTCTATTGTCCTGATTCAGCAGGGTAATTAAGTACATATCCAGCTTCAATCAAGTGACTAGTTCTACTGAAGTCAATGGATCCATTTACGTGCTTCAAATATGCACATGTACTTAGGCAGCTTGCTGAATCAGACTCTAATTCTTTGGATTGATTAGGGAAATGTATTTTGTGTCATATTTCACATATTTGTTTAACTACGTGTAATTAATTGATATCAAATGAGCATTATGTAAGGGTTCAGATATTAGGGTGATAAGTGCAGTATAATAGAAGAGCATAAGGCTCTTCTGATGGGTCAATGCATGCTGCAATATGTAGAAACCTGGTACAATGACACACACCAGGACTCATGAGATAGTTTGATACAATGCAAGACAAAAACTGAACAAGGCACCAACAGATGAGTAACTGGGTACATGATTTATCCTCATGCCTTGGGTACACTCAATATGTGCCTGTACATGGGAGCATTTAATACATGCCTATTCAAGTTTAGCTACACAGAATTCCATACAACAAGCTGGTGGTGGAAACAGGCATTGACCTAACTCACTCATAGGCTTCTCTTGAGTAGAGGCTGACAGGAGGGCTGTAAAACAAGAGAAAATAGCTGCTGGCACCTACCTCTGTCTGTACCAAATTGACCCTCTGGGATCGTAGCTCTCGCACACAGTTAAATATGTCTACAACACCTTCATTCTCTGCCATGTCAAGCATGATGTCAATGGCAATAAAGCACCCTGTCCTTCCAGCACCAGCGCTGCAAAAAAGAATGAAGCCCTGATCAATAGACCATGAAGAGGCAGGGCTGTCAAGAGGAGAAAAAAAATCTGTGTGTTGCAGGCACAGTTGTCTTCCTTCATTAGCTGCCCCTCTCTACTGAAGGACTGGTCTTCTGTGTTGCTGAAACAGCATGAGACATAGGAGAGTGAGGCTAGGTGGTTTTCTTGGGAAGGGGAAAAGAGAGAGGGGTAAGAAGAAAAACTATTTCTCAGACACTAGTAGGAAGTTCAACGAAAAATATTCTAGCCCTGTTCAGCAATACTTCCATAAGCACCCGAGCTACAGAACATCTGACTCTGTTATGAACTGAGACAGAGAGGAAACTCATGCTCTTGTAATTAGAGGCAGCTTCAGAAAATATATTTTGGAAGAGGTTTTCCCATGTGACTTTTAAAAGCGCTCTGCCATACTCAGGTGCACATGTTGAAGGGGGCCCCAGTTCTGTACCCGCAAGATCCTTCTCCCATTTTAGTTGGTGGGAGTTACATTTGGTACATGGAGAACTGGCCTGGGGTGGAGAGAGTCCAGGGTGGGGGTTGTGAGACTGTAGAGAAGGGAGCTTTGGGCGACTCAAGTGCTTAAATTTAGAACCCCCACTGCTTGCGAGACTTGAAACCTCTCACATGAATGGTGTTGTCAATAAGTCCCCTCTCCCACTGGGGAAGTCATCCGAGTTGTCTAAGTGTGACAGATAAAGAGAGGAGGAAGTCTCTCCCCATTATCCTAGAGGAAAGGGGCAAACTCAGCTAGAGCCAAGAAAACTTTCGATGTATGAAACTCCAGACGGTGCTGTAAAGCAGAGAGATCTGAATGAACATGAATTAATGTGCCAGATTAATCAAGGGCTGAACAGGGGGAAGATATTTTTCATTTGCAGAATTTTAATGAATAAGTGGCATTTCCTCTCTCTTTATCTCTCTGCTTTTCAAAATTTTAACAAATAGTTATACCATTTCTATATTTAGAGGTCACTGGCAGGCCATAAATATCGAGTGGTGATATTATCCAGCAAGGCACTGGTAGGGAGAATTTGGTCATTACCACTTAGAGCTAGTCATTAAAATTCAAAAGCAGATAAATAACAGAGAGTGAATGGCATTTATTCATTAAAATGTGAAGGATGAAAAATCTCTCCTCTCTTTCTCAGCATTGCTGAATCAGGACCAGTCTCTTTCAAAGGCCAGGCCTGGGTCACAGCTCTGAAGTAGCAGATAGAAACCCAGAGTTGTGGAAAATAGCTACCACCTGCCAGCTCCTGGGGTTTCATTTGTATTTTATTATAAATCTGCCTGCCTGCTAAAGACAGAGGGATTAATTTATTTCCCTTTTTGGGGTGGTCTTGGAATTTATTCTCTCTTCCCCCTCGTTTCATACATGCACTCCCTAAGAGGTATGGGACAACAGTTGTAACTGGGTTATGATTGATTTGGTTTGGAGGGGAAAGCATGGAACAGCAATTGTGTTCTCTGACCTTGCTAGCTTTTCATCTATGCCTCTTCTATAAACAGATATGTTTGTATGTTTTATTGGAGTGGAAGCATTGGGGAAACAGCTGCTATATACTATTTCTTTGTTCTGGTAACATCTTTCTTGCAATGGGATATTGGCAATTCTTGTTCAGTGGTTGGAGGCCACAGTGCTATTATATGCATATATTAATGCAAATACAAAATCAAATGCAGCTCAATTTTTTAAAAAAAAGAATGGATAATTTTGTGACTACCACTTGTAGCTGTCCTCACTATGCGGGGTTACCAAGACATCAGCTCATCGTCACATGATTGAGGAAGGGACTTTTCACCCTGTCAGACATTACGTAACTGGTTATGTGAATTTTGGAGGTCTGGTGCCTCTCTCTAATGCAGGGGTGGCCAACCTGTGGCTCCGAAGCCACATGCGACTCTTCAGAAGTTAATATGCGGCTCCTTGTATAGGCACCGACTCTGGGGCTGGAGCTACAGGCACCAACTTTCCAATGTGCCAGGGGGTGCTCACTGCTCAACCCCTGGCTCTGCCACAGGCCCTGCCCCCACTCCACCCCTGCTCGCCCCCTCCCCTGAGCCTGCCATGCCCTCACTCCTCCCTCCACTCACCAGCCTCCTGCACGCCATGAAACAGCTGATCAGGAGGTGCGAGGGGGGAGGCACTGATCAGCTGGGCTGCTGGTGGGCAGAAAGCACGGGGAGCAGGGGGATGGGAGATGATGGGGGGCTGCTGATGTATTACTGTGGCTCTTTGGCAATGTACATTGGTAAATTCTGGCTCCTTCTCAGGCTCAGGTTGGCCACCCCTGCTCTAATGCATCTGGCACTGGACTCATGCTGGATTTGATGGCCCACTAGTCTGATCCAAACGAACAAAAACAGCATTCCTATGCTGCAAGGACTTCACTAGGTTCCCCAATACAAATACTTACCAAGAGTCATTTTCGAACTTTGGGAAGGGGCAGGACTGTCAGGTCTGTCAGCAGGAGGCTGTACCTGAGAGGCAGCATGGGTGAGTGGATAGCACACTGGAGTCGGTCAGGAGACCTGGGTTCTGGCTTTGCCACTGACCGGCTGTATGACCTTGCCCAACTCACATTACTTCTCTGTTACCCCTGCCCTTTGTCTGTCTCACACATTTAAACTTGTTCGCTCTTCCAGTCAGGGACTGTTTTCTCAAATGTTTGTACAGTGCCTAGCTCAAGGGGACCCGAGTCTCAGCTGGGGACTCCAGCGACTACTGCACTACCTGTCGTAATTATAACAGTAACCTGAATAATGCTCAGAGTTAGGGAGCATGTAATCCAATAGTTTGAGTCTTCCCTCTTCTTAAACAAGCAGGTGTCCCTGGTACACTTTGGTTAAAGTTGCTCTTAGGAAGTTACATGGCAGATTTCCAGAATGAAATTAAACTCCCAGGCTCTGGGCTAAGTGAAGGCTAAAAATTATATATAATAGTTGGCATCTCCCACTGGGTAGGGGAGCAGGAAGACCCGATCTTGCCAATGGCTGAAGAGCACAAAATAGAAGCTGAGGTGCATGTGTGTACATGCAAAGGTGGTTGAAAGTTCCCTTCTGCCCGCCCTGAGCCCCTCACTTGATGCTGCTCTGAGTTATGCCAGTTGCCACAGGAGGGTGAAATTGCAGCCAAGGATGGGTATCCCAGCCATGCACCATTTCCCCCCGCTACACCAGCAGCATGAAGGGCACTGGGCTAAGAGCCCCTATAGCACCAGAGGATCCTCTTTATTGGAGTGATCCCTCCCTGGTCCAATGATGCCAGCTCCAGGGCCAGTTTACACCAGCAATGAAGCATAAAGCAGCCACTGCACAATGGAGAACCTGTTCCACTGTGCGCAAGTTCACCTCGAAGGCCGGCAAACTATACTGTTAACAATAAAAGGTAGCTAGGTGGTCACTAGGTTGAAAGAAACAGGAAAAACTTAAGAAAACTGACCGGGAGAAAAATGAGCGATGACAGACAAGTAGACAGACAGATTGCATACCTGCAGTGCACAACTATAGGCCCCGCCTCAGGCGGATTGAGGAACTTCACCTGCCGAACAAAGCCCAAGAGGCCTGTGGCATAGCAAGGAACCCCGTGGTCTGGCCAGCTGGTAAAGTGGAACTGCCGAATCTCTCGGATCTCATGGTAGCCTTTCTGAGGAGACAATGCAACCTCTATTTTTTTCCTTTCATGTCACAATCACCATATTTCACTGCATTCTTTACCCATTCAGAGGGCTGAACTACCATTTAAATATAATTATATAAAGCCACATTTCATATACCACTTCTCACTTCTGGAGATTTCAAGGTGAAAGATCAAGAGATTACATCTTCCACTACAACTGAAGTGTATCACATAAGCCTGAGGATTATGAAAGTGGTTACCAGCTCCCCATTCACAGTGTACTGTCTTAAATGCAATTTAAAATTAGCTGATCAGTAACATTATGGGGTAACTTCAGTGCTAGGGTACCTTTGCTCAACCACCCCTGCAAAGAGAGACTACTAGTGGTACAAATTCCCAGCTCATTTCCACTCTAGAATCCAGTCTGTTCCAGTAATTTTTTTCTGATGACGTGAATGTAGTGCTAATGACTGACAGGCCTGGAAACTGAAGGCCATAGAGCAGTTAAGGCACAGGCTGCAAAAGAGCAAGCTTCCCTATAATCACCCATCAATGCATTTCAACCCTATGAAGGAGGGATGGCATCTAGTGCTGAGAGAGTAGTTATGTTGTTTCCATACCCATCCTTGGCCTCTGGTGAGACTACAAACAAGGGCATCAGCCACTGTCTGTTCTGATACAGGTACTTGTTCTCTAGGAATTGGACCAACACCACCAGTTTACTCCACACACAGGCTGCCAAAGAGCTTCCACTTAGTTACACCATTTTGTCACTGACATTTTGGGCTGTGGCACAGAGAGTGCAGGGTACCATATTCCATTACCAAGCCCTTTGATCTGCCAGACCTGCCTTTGGTTATTTTTTGCCAAACAGCTCCATGGTCAACAAAATATGAAATCAGGGCACTAGAAACTGGAACATATTCCAGTGTAGCTGTGATGAGGTTTAATGAATGGTGTGAGTTTTCTTAGAAAGCTTTAAAATCACTTATCAAGTGCGTGAGGTATGATTTGGGAAGAACTGCAATGGTCCGTTATTTAGGCTTCCAATTTCCACCAGTGCTTAACAAAACCTTCCACTAAACTGCAGATTTTTGGAAAATACACATAGTTAGGCCCTGATTATTATTTTTATTTGTTTTTTAAAAGGGCCTCTGCCTGGGATCTAATTTTACTGGGGCTTTTTTCCCCCACACCTGCAATTTGCCAGTGTGAATAACTATAGTCACTGTTCATGGCATATAGACATCTACCTACTGGAGTCATAGATGCATTTAGACATTTGAGTGCTATGAATTGTATCCACAGTTATTTGTGTTTCCATCTAATTGCTGATATGAACTTGGAAGATGCTTCATAAACATCGGATTAGTAAGGTAGAAAACAAGTCAAAATTTAACACTCCCATATCTACAAGCTTCCCGTTTATGTCTGTGTGGAACCATGCTTCAGATCCCAAGTGAGGTGTTATGTCTGAAGTAAAATTGACTGGGGACTTCCTTACCTTTTGCACAGTAAATGTGCGTATGACGTACTCTGCCAATGGCTCTGTCTCAATTAATGTGACTTTAATATCTCCATAGACCTCTGTGTCATCTGGCCAGTATCTAACACATTTCACCTACAAGAAGAAAAAATAGACTGTAGAGATGGATGGGATAATGGATTGTGTAATTCAAGTCCAATCCAAAAACTGGATCTTTAGTAAACATTCAAAGAAGTTCACTTAACTGCATAAAAATGTTTTTACATTTGTAATTATTTCTAACATTGTGACTGGGACTCAAATCTGGAGCACTGACATATCGTGAGTCTGTTCTCACAAATTTCTCAGTCCAGTTTTGCAGACATAATTGTTTTGACCAATTCAGAGCAGCATCCAAATATCAGAGTACTCATCTGAAAAAGGACCCAACCTTTTGAGTTTTTCCCATCGGTTCCAACACGCTTCAGTAACCTGGTGGCTACTTGAAACAGAAACACTGAACAAGTCTGACAGCAGCTGCTCTGACTCACCTGGCTACATCTGTTGTGTGTCCTAATCACAAAGCATCTACAGTATAGCAGAGAAACTAACAGCTCAAATACCACCCTCATGCCAGTGGTAACCTCAATCTGGTCAACCCCTCCTGTGTCAGCCATCTACCCCTCAGTGTCAGTAAATGAGCAGTTTCTAGAAAGGAGCTCCCCATGTAGTAGTTGGCATTTCTGAAGAGATTGCTTCAGCATGCAAGGAACTAGTACCCGGAGTAAGTGGGATATGGGGATAACGCTCTCAACATTGTGGCCCAAATAAATGTTCTGAAGGAAGGAAGGATTTCTAAAACCTCAAACAAGTAAAATTACTAAAAAAAGGGGTGGGGAGAGAGAACTGGACATTGAGGCTGGAGGAGCTGGGAAGTGGGGAACATAGGGGAGCAGAGTAGGAAACAAGGGTGGGATAAAAGAGATGGGAAATATGGGATAGAAGACATTGTAAGGAGTTAAGAAAAGGAGGAAGGAAAAGCCATTTCAAGGCCATGCAATTTGAATACGGATTATTTCCTTTGAATTGCTGGGGAAGAGCAAACCCTAGTCTTAGTTAGGCTTCCTAGGATCCTCAGAAACAATTAGGCCTACCTGACTGGCCCAGCTACTTGGCACCTTCCAAACCCATTCCCTGGAGCCACTAGTCTCTTGGTTATCTTTAAAAGCCTAGATTTGCCATGATAAGTTCTCCTATCCTGACTCTTTATACCCCTAGTCCTTGTTTCTGCCATTCTCTTTGTACATGGCCTCTAACCGAGTGGGGGGAAAGTCCGAACCTTCAAAACCTAGCACCTCTGCTATTCTCCATTGATACAGTGATCCTTCAACAGTCACTGAGACCAGATTAAAGAAACTTCCCATATTCTTGCTCATGTGAACTTTGCAGATAAAGAATAAGTCACATACATTACACAGAACTCTACTTTGTTTCTGTAGTAAAAGGGTCAGTTTCTCAACTGGTACAAATTGTTGTAACTCCACTGAATTTAAGAGTTAACCTGATTTATATCAGCTGAGGATCTGGCCCAATATATTTCCATCAAGAGGAAGCAAAAACACAATGGAGAAAGGTGCTTATCAGAGATGAGGGGAAGCAGCTAGGAAATAAGAAAATTAGAGTACAGTTTTAAAGAAGAAACCTGAGTGGTTTAATCTATTCTCTTGTTCTTCAAAGTGCAGTAAGTGAGAGATATTTACAAGATACTTAGAACAGTAAAATGTTACTATCTGCTCCTATTTTGGCTGTATCTGGTGAGGAAGTGGTGAAAAGCACTGGGAATACAGCCTCCTTACCCTGCCAACTTCCACCAGGTTGGTGACCATGACAACACTTGCAGAATTCTCCTGCCAAATCATTCTCCAAAAATCCTTAACCGTCTCTTGCATGGGACCTGGGATAGGAGAAGAGAGAAAAAAGGACATCTTAAAAGGATATGTTTAACATCAGCAATCCATTTCAGCTGTTCTTTGCCTGCAGCCCTGTTCACGTTAAATCCCACCCTTCTTACGGGGTATTTCCTTGCTCTTCAAGGTGACATCCACTGAACAATATTGACTTCTTTAATAAAACAGATACTCTCTCTAGCAGGGCGGGTGAGATTTTAAGTCTCCAGGACTGTAGAAACTGTGGTGATGGATGCATTATAAGTACTAGAGAGAGATACAGTACGCAAATAGATACATATGATCAATCCAATACATTATGGATGTACCCCTGTGGCTCTGGGGTTAAGTCACCATAGCAGGTTTATTAGAGCAGAGCTTCTCTGAGCTTGCTTCTCCCTCCTCCCGTACATTGCAGATGAAAGCCTGTTTCCTACCCCAAACCTCTGTCTACCCTCACTGTCCCTATGCCCCACCCTCCAGATTCCCTGTAGAGCTGCACTCCCTACACCCATGTGCCCTCAGTCCCCATCTCTAGTCTGCTTTTACATATTAAAATCTATCATTGCATAGACATGGAAGGGGCCAGTGAGTAGGCCAGTTCAAGGGGTGGCATAGGTGCAAAGTAGGAGGGAGTGAGCATATCTGGTAGTGAGGGAAGGGGTCCTGGCAAAGGGGTGTGGCTGATAATGGTGTAGGAGGGAGTGGGAGGGCAGTAGGGACATCTGGGATGTGTAGAGGGGAAGCATGGAGAAATAGATATCAATGTTGATAGCTAACAACACAAATCTTCATGTTGCTAGTATTTTTAAGTGGTGGGAAACTCCCCCACAAAATCTTCACCAACTTGCAGGTGAGGCTGCTCAATTACATTTTCTATCAACTCAGTCCACTGCAAATCCAGGAAGTCACCAGTTATGGATATAATCATAAACACACCAACCCCCTCCCACAGGCCTGACCATGCAAGCATCATAATTAAACACATTCTCAGATTCTTCAGCTCCATAACAAACTCCCTTTCAATTCTGACCCACCTTAATACACAACCAATTCCTCAATCACATTCCAGTGCACAACTTACTCTGACCTCATTCTTCCTGGACAAATTACTCATTATTGACTTTACTACTACACATAGGTTTAGGTGTTCTTTATGTTAATCTAGCTCCGGTTGTGCATTTGAGTATGTTTCAAATATCCTCACAAGCAGTGGACTGGAATATGCCTGATTTTATTTTCTGTGCATGAATACCACTCTAAGCTTACAGGTATTAAAACACAGGAGATGTACTCTGAGAGTGGCTCTTGGATCAGCTTAACACATCATTGTCTTTAGAGAAATAGTTAGAAGTAGGAGACTGTCACTTGCCTTGAGTTGCAATATAGTGACGAGGCCGGTGGTATCCCTGGGAAAATATAAGAGAAGGGAAAACAAATCAGGAAGGTCCATTAAAATAACACGTCAGAGTGAGCAAACTGGCATGCATTTTACTTCTTCCGGTAGAATCAGCTGTTGTGTGTGAATGAAGCACTAGCACTAATGGGTACATAGAAACCCTACATGAGACACGGGGTCCCTTTGAGGAATTACAAATGGCAGGAACTGCTTTAGTCCTCTTTAATAATTCAACTACCATGAAATGTTTGGAGTTTTCATAGCATGGATTTGACAGTACCAGAGAGAAAATAAGAATGAGGCATTTTTCACATTTTCTCAAAGAAACAGCAAGTCCTGCAGCTAAACTGCAGGCACTCTGGGAAACCTGCTTCACTACTTAGATTAGAAATTAACAAGCAAAAATCTGTGCCTTCTGGTCTGAAATGCACACACCTGCTTCTACAGAACAGACTCAACCATCAGTGATTAAGTATATTTTCAGTTTCCTCCATTGAGGGATCTCTTCAAAAAATGTTATTAAGGATTAAGAGATGCATAAAAGAAAATGTGTGTTCCTTTGACGACAGTGTGTGTGTCTGGGAGGTGGCTATGTTTAAAAAGATATTTCCTACTACTTAAAAAAATACCAGCACACATATAATGCCTCCCACGCTGCAACCATGTAAACCATCAAGAAGCCACAGGTCTATATTAATGTTATTGTGAGAGGGGTGATATTGATTTTTGTGTCCACAGTACATGCATCTTATATTCCACTTGTGTGTGTGTGTAACTATCAGACCGAGAAATCTCATGTATGTAGGTGACTCATAGAGAGAGACAGACAGACAGACCACCCTCCCCAACACATCACAGAGCTGGGATAAACTTTATCAGCCCTATCACATTTGCAGTGAATCTCTCTCTAAGGGTATCTCTATGATTGGAGCTGAGAGGTATGATCCCCAGCCCAAGGGGACATACCCCCACTAGCTCTCATCAAGTTGGTGCACTAAAAATAGAACATAGTCATGGCAGTGTGAGTGATGGGAGGGGACGGAAGGGGCTAGCTGCCCCAAGTACACGCCGTCAGAGATCCTAGGCGTATGCTCAGGGCAGTTAGCCCATCCCGCTGCTCACACTGACATGGCTTCATTGTCTTTTTACCACACTAGCTCAATGAGAGCTAGGGTCAGTATGTCTCCTCAAGATGTGAAACTCCCTCCAGCTCTTAGTGTAGAGCTAGCCTAAGAAGTACCATGCCCACAATCAGATATGATGATATGGTTCTCTGTCACACAAGGTATGTCCATGGCCCTTACATCTATGTAGTTGGCGTTTATGTAGTCTGAGTGAGGGTCTCCATCCAACAGCTGCAGTCTCACTCTTGAATGATCATCTGAAAGATGAAAAGAAAAAGAGTAAAGTTAAAGATAAATAAAAGTGCTAAGTGTTTCATGTGTGGTTAAATGGAAAAGACTATGGCTGTCCTAAGGCAGTGGAAAAAACAAGTGGGCAGATGTACTATAATTGAGCTTTCCACTTGCTGCTTTTTGTAACTGGCTGATTGAACACATACAGCTGTATCAAGACTATCATGGTGTTATCCATAAATTTGTCCATGACTACTTTTTGGTATTTAAGGTGTTACCTTTACATCCTGGGGTTACCTTTTATTTATAGTAGGCATTCATTATTCACTGAAGTTAATATAATCTGTTACGAGATTTACACATAACATGAACATTCTTCATTTTCTGGATCTCAGCCTTCATCCTCTTAGGGAAATGTCCAGATCACAAAAGCCAACACTTAGAACTAAATGGTAGCTTTCCTGGTCTGTTCAGAAGAGGGGCCAAGGATTGACAGGACTATGGAAACTGAGGTGAGAGTTGAGATTGGGATTGTTACAGAAGAGAAAAATAAATGAGGTCACAACAGAGATATGTAAAATACTGAATATAAAGATGGTAAAACAGTCACTCCTATTTAACCTCTTTCATCATATGGAGAAGAGCTCTGTGAAGCTTGAAAGCTTATCCCTTCCAGCAAGAGAAGTTGATCCAATAAATGTTATTACCTCACAGACCTTGTCTCTCTCAAGAAACAATTTTTTCAGTTTTCAATAGAACTGAAGAATACAAAATTTAAAACTGATACCAAGGAACATTCTGTTTACATGGGAATGTATACAGCACAATGAAGCTATATAACTCATTGCAACAAGACCACATTGAGGCCAAGAGCTTAGCAGTATTCAGTTAGTTTAGATAGGGTAAAAAAGCATAAACCAATCTCTGCCTGAAGTTACGAACAAACTTCTCCATGGGCGGATTATTCCCGAATTTTGCACTTGAGGATTCTTGCACCTTTCTCTGAAGCAACTGGTGCTGCCTGCTGTCAGAGACAAGCTACTGGGCTAGCTGGACACTGATCCGGTCTGGCATCTCCAATGTGTCTATGGAATTATGTACAGAAATGCCTAAGTAAGGATCAACTGCTGAAAAATAGCTTCTATTTTGGGTGCTCAACACTAGACACCTTAGGTCTGACTTTTTTAAGAGGTGATGAGGATCCAGAGATTCCATTCACTTTAATTCCTATGAACTAGCTATCTACAAATCATCACCCAAGGACTAAGGCACCAAGAATTTAGAGGCACTTCTGAAAATTTGGCCCCAAACATCTAACCGGTCATTTGAACACTATCATCATGATTAAACACAAAATCACATGCAAACTAGAGGCCTGACCCTATACCACTGAAGTCAAGAGATGCTTTGCCACTGACTTTAATGGAAACAGGATCAGGTTATAAGCGGGCAGATTTCTGTGCATCAGTTCTGGAAATCAGGGCCCAGATGCATATGGACATGTATTGCAATTAATTTTCTTATGGGAGAGGTACAAAACCCAATAGTCTCTTGACTTTATGGGTCAGGTATTTTAACCCAAATGCAATGGATGAACCTGCAAATACATACACACTGTCATGGCCACAACACCCCACAATTGTGCTCAAAATGATTATGCAGGTTAGGCAGACAGGAGTTCTGTTATATGATTTGGGTTCACAGATATGGGTTTTGTGGCTGTAGTGAGTACTTGTGTATTTCTGCAGGAGCACCCATTGCGCCCAGTTTTAGGGCATGGCTACACTTGCAAATGTAGAGCGCTGTGCGTTAAACCCACCTTCGTAGAGGGCAGTAGGGAAAGCACTGCAGTCTGTCCACACTGACAGCTGCTTGCGCACTGGCATGGCCACATTTGCAGCACTTGCAGCGGCATTGGGATTGGTGCATTATGAGCAGCTATCCCAGCATGCAAGTGACTGCAATGTGCTTTTCAAATGGGTGGGAGAGTGGGGGAGTGTGACAGGGAGTATGTTGTGTGCATGTGGGGGTAGAGAGAATTAGTTTTTGGGGTGCTGAGTGTGTCAGCATGCTGTCTTGTAAGTTCAGACTCCCCTTCCCCCCCCCCACTTCTCTCTCACTCACTCACTCACTCACTCACTCAAAGCAAACAGTAAATGTTTGCTTCTCTCGGAGCTGATAAGCAGCCGGCTTCTCCGAAACGGAGCTTTGAAAGGGCATTTCCGCATTCCTGCAGCCGATTTCACAACAATGACAAGAGTGGCCACTTGACTTAAGGGGATTATGGGACGTTTCCGGAGGCTGATCACAGCGCAGTAACGCAACACCTCGTTCACACTGGCACTGCAGAGTTCCAGCGGGGGCGCAGCAAACGTTATTCCAATCGCCGAGGTGGAATACCAGCAGCGCTGTAGCTGCGGAGTCAGACCGCTCTACATGCCTTGCCAGTGTGGACGGGGAGTGAGGGAGGGCGCCCGGGGCTGCTTTATTGCACTGTAACTCGCAAGTTTAGCCACGCCCTTAGAAAGTTAGCTGTACTTAAACCAGTACATTGGGAATTTTACTTAACCAAATGGTTAGACAGAAAAGAATTTATGCTAAGAGTAATTTACAAAGACAGCCAGAGAGCTGATTAGATTGTGTGTATGGAGGCAACACACAAAATTTGCTGCAGACAATTGCTCGCAAGGCATGGAGCCAAGCTAGTGAGAATTATATGGAACAGAAATTAAAACGATCTTAGACGTAAGGGGGGAAAAAGACGACATTCCTCTATAGTGATGTCACAAGGAGATCAGAACCTTAAGAATGTCTAGTTTATTGCAACAATGTAATTGAAAAGAAACAACAAATGTTCCCACCTAGCTATAAAGAATCACCTCTAATTGAACCTCTAAGGGACTATCCTAAAAAGATGTTTAAGAAGGTGGCGGCAGGAGAAGACTATCACTTGTAGACATTTATACACGGGGAAGGACCGAGGAAGGCAGCACTTTTGTTGTCATAAAGAATAATATTTTTCTTCAAAGGAAAAAATTGCTGCTTTATCAGTAACCCAAAATAAGCTATGAAGAAACAATCATTTGAAATGAAACAAAGAAAACTTAAAAACAGAGGAGGCATTTAGGCTGAGGTCCAATTCTGGTTTTGGACCAACTGAAATATACTGGGAGCTCAGTTTTTCTTCTGTGGAATTTGGAGTCATAATATCTCATTGCACGTTTTATAGAAATGAGATTTTATTTTTCATGGGAGAAATATTTTGCTCATAGGGTGAATGGTGTGACAGACAGCCTCTGTATATACAATAAATGTAGGAAATATTAATGATGTCTTACCTTTCAGGAGGGAGTGGGGCCTTTAATCTAGTTCATATTTTTAGGGGAACTGGCTAGATAAAAGTTCATGAAATAACTTATCTTTTAAATCAGATTTTCCGAATGCTTTACAAAGCTGTTAGGAATGTACCTTATGGGGGAAGGTACACAGTACATTGATGCACTAATAATAACTAATAGTAACACTAGTGCTCTCATAAAGCATCTATAGATTTTAAAATGCTTTACAAAGGAAGGCAAATATCCTTTTTTTAAAATGGGGAAACTGAGACACAGAGATGAGGTAACCTGCCCAAGGTCATACAACAGGTCTGTACTAGAGATGAGATTAGAACCTGGGTCTCCTGATTCTTAGAACTTTCCATTACTGGACCACACTAGCTCAGAAGCCTCTAATCTCTGGCAAGCTAAGCTCAAATTCAAATCAGAAGTTAAAGAGTGTGGGTGAATTCATTTCACATCACAAAATCACCAAACATTTTAGCATGAGTGGGAGCATCTGCTTAAAAGCAAGCTCATGCCTACAAAATCCAGGGCTGTGAGAAACTGCAGAACCATTGTAATGACATTTTTTATCATTTTATTTTGCCATATCATCTTCTACTCTTGTGAATTAACACAACTTGAAAAATTTACGAAAAATTGCCTGTAAACCTGTTTTAATACCAACTCCAAAGTGACAAGAATTTCACTGAAAATAGTTGCATTCTAGCACACCAAATTCATCATTTCAAACTTGTGTCAAAATTCTCATTTTTGAATAATTGTGAAGGTCAGTGTGATTATTTCCACATCTCATTTTGAGACTAGAGTTATCCCATGAAATGGAAGCTATACTGAGGCATGAGGCAACATTTTCAGTGAGGTGAAGACGGCAGCCAGGAACAGGATATTGCTCAATGAGGAAGTCAGGAACATAAACTAAGCTCACTCCGTCTCCTTGGACTTAGAAGGGTTTTTATTCTGTACCCATCCCTGTAACATAGTTTTTATTTTTATGAGCTGTCTGGGTTGCTGTCCATGGTACTGACTCAATTCTATGTTTTTCTGCACGGAAGAAAATTCGGACTGAATTATTTATGCTTCATTTGTGCTCTTTGACAGTAGCTCAAATGCCTTTGCAAAAGCTGTCCTTTCTGCACTTTCCATAATTTTATATACTTCAACGATGTTCCCTCACAATCTTCTCCATCCCAAAGGATATTTCAAACAACTTTTTTTTTTAAATAGTTTCCCTGTAGGATTCTCTTTGCCTTCTGTTCTGTATTTTCTATTTCTATGGCCCAAATCATGGCTTTCAAGTTCTGGTCTGTTTTGGAGGCTTGAGGGACTGCACTGCAGCAGGAACCCTGGGAGAATTCTGGCTGACTCGGCTGTAATTACTCTTGGGGTACTAGGAACAGCACTTCCCTTTGACAGCAGGCATCCCACTCCATGCTGGGGACAGTGCTCAGCCCAGGGGGAAAGGAGAGGAAAAGACTTGTGCTGTCTTAGACTATCAGACTTTAAGGCCAGAAGGCACCATCATGATCATCTAGTCTGACCTCCTGCACATGCAGGCCACAGAACCTCACCCTCCCACTCCTGTAATAGACTCCTAATCTCTGGCTGAGTTACTGAAGTCCTCAGATCATGATTTAAAGATTTCAAGTCACAGCGAATCCACCTGTACACTAGTTTAAACCTGC